CTCACTCTCTTTCTCACTCCCTCCCTCACTCACTCTCTCTCTCACTCTCACTCCCTCACACACACACAAAAAGGAATAAAGAAGCTGTTGTAAGGGGCAATGATTGAAGTCATTAAACCTAAAGAGACAGTTACTGGATTAATACTTTCTTAGGGTTCCAGCAAGGAGGGGCTGGGGTACTAATAATAATGAGTACAAGGAAGAAGGAAATGTTGTAGAATTGATTGTGGTGATGACTGCCCAGCTATTTTTAATATGTTTGAACAATTAAACTATATGATATGTGAATTATATGTCAATAAAATGTTAAAAATTTAAAAAAAATTTGACATCTAAATAATTGAGACATTTTTATTAAAGAAAATAAAGATTGGTGTTTTTAGGAGACGAATATATTTTTCTCTAAGCCCCAAATTTATGTTTAATGCATTCTGTCACCAAATCTATTTATTTCTGGGGTTTGGTGTTCAAAATGTTGAGGAAACTGAAAGCCACCCCTCTTACCTCAAACTACTTACGTGGTTCTCCCTCCTTTGGCCTTGGGGCAGACTTTCCCTCAGCTGGAGACTTGACAGTGGAAATGGTGACTGCCAGTTTGCTCACACAGAATTTCTAAAAGGGACCCCGAAACACAGAGTGGGGAAAGACCAGGGAAAGCCTTGTGGAATCGGATTGGAATTTGAGATATTAGTGTGAACTCATGAATATACTTAAATCATTTGCACAGCTCCTGCTTTGATGAGGTGATGCTTTGTCAAGTCCAGCATTTCCACTGCCCCCAAACTAGGATCTATTCCCAAGGGACTTCCACACCCTGATTGATTGGCTGTCAATCCACTGAGAGGCAGGTAGGGAAATTAGCCCTGATAGACAGTCATGAGACTCACCTCTTCTCGTTCCCTGTTTTAGGGACTGCAACCTGGAATTTCCCATTCTATGTGGTATCACTTGTCTTTCAGCCTCTGAAAACAGTTGTGCCCAGTAGCTTATAGAGCATGGCAGGCATGGCACATGCCCTGGGCACCAACAAGCAATTTCTATCCACCAGCGCAGTTTCCACTGTCAGCTGTGAGAGACAGCAAGTGCCAGTTAAGTGCCACAGGCATTCGTTTCCATAGATACACTTCTGTTTGCCTGATACCTTTTGTCCATTTCAATGGTTAAGGCAGGATGGTTATAGGCAACCATATACTCCATCATCACCAAAAAGAGACATCCTTCGCTCTGTGTTTGATAATAGCCCTGGCGCTGCTGTAGGTTAGCGTTGGACTACTACGAACCATAAACTGCTCAGCCGTTCAAACCCACCAGCTGCTCATCGGGAGAAAGATGAGGCTGTCTGCTCCCATAAAGCTGTACAGCCTCAGAAACCCTATCCAGGGTCACTATGAGTCAGAATGACTCCATGACTGTGGGTTTAAGAATATATAATATTCTTATGTTACATTTTCTGAAATCGATCCTTGTATTCTGGTAATGTCACTCCTTGAACATGCAGAAGAGTTTTGGGAAATAAAGTTCTGATGCCTGCAGTTTGCTCTTCAATGACTTACTCAAAGTATTATCAAAATGAATAGCAATCACATGCATGTGTATTTGTAGAGGGAGCAAGAAAGAGATGCTGTTAAAGCAAGTATGAAGGCGAATTTAGATGAGTGTATATGAGAGCTCATGGTACTATATTTGTAGCTTTTCTGTACATAGGGAGGTTTTCCAAGTGAAATGCCCCCTTAAGTGTGAATTGAATTTAATGATTTAATGATTTACTTTCAAGGGCTGAAGTATAAAGAGGAAACACTTTACAGTGGACCAACCTGGCAGTTACCACCTACCCAAGTATTACCACCTACCCAAGTAATCAAGAAATGAAGGTTAGCATCACCAGTGATTGCTAAATCTGGTGGACACATGGGTATTATGTAACACACCCCCCCACCTACACACATCACCACCACCACCACCTACACACATATACCACCACCACCACCTACACACATACACCACCACCATCACCACCACCAAATAGGATGTGATGATCAAAAGGGCTTTTAACCTCAGGTGTTTTCCTAAAACTTCATAACCCCAGTCTAATCATGAGAAACATCAGGCAACTCCAGATTGCGAGTTATTCTAGAAAAATACTTCCGAGACGTCAGGGCTATGAAATAACAAGGAGAGGATGAGTAACTGACACAGACTGGAGGCACTAAGGACGGCCGCCTTAGTTACTGTGATTGTTAAGGTTGCCTGTCAGGTTGACTGGACCAGATTCTAAGTGGTTGGCCAATGAGATGTAGTCATCCCCTAGGATGAGATCGAATGCAACAAGATCATTGCCACGATGTGATCTGCTGTGAGCAGCCAGCCTTATGGAAAGGAATGGCCCCTGTGGGGGTTGCGCAGGGGGAAGGTTGCCTGCTTTGTGCTGGGTCTGGAACCTGCCCTGGCTCATCATCTTAGCACAGTTTGGTGGTGGTGGTAGGCAGGGGTTGGACTATCTGCCAGCCACACTGCCTGCTGATCCTGGGATTGATCAGCAGCCTGGTGTTTTTTCCTGCCAGCCTGGAATTTGTTTTCTTCTGCAGCTACAGGAGCCAGGAGAAATCTCCAGCGTGCGATCTCTGGCCTATGTCCTTGAAACTTGCCCACCTCTACAAACGTGTGAGCTGTTTCCTTGAGCGAAACCTCGCTCTGTATCTTTCAGCTTCATTTGTTTGCTTCTCTAGAGAACCCAGCTGAAGACAGTTGCTACCTCTCTCCTCTAACTCATAGCCCCTGTGGGTGTGCAAGGCTGTAACTGTTTACTGCTGACCTTGTGGTAACAGACCAACAGGTAGCCACTCTGCCATCACAGACACACCATCGTGAATGGCTTTAAAAAATGGGATTTTATCTTCTTACAGTTCTGGAGGTTAATCATGTAAGGAAAGTTCTCTGCCATGTCAGTTTCTTCACTGTAGCCAGGGCGTTCCCTGTCTTACAGTGGATCCTTATATGGCACGTGTCTTTCCTACATGTGTGTGTAATGCTATGCTCTTGTTATAAGTCAGAGTGATCTGATTTAGAACCTACCCCACTTGAGTAGGGTCTATTTCATAAAGAAAGCCCTCTATGCCAGAAGCATTATAGCCACAGATACAGGGTTTAAGATTCTCATGGGGTTTTGTTTTTGTCTTTTGTTGTTGTTGAAAGAGGCATCATTTAGTCTATAATAGTGACTAACTGCAATATACTAATCTAGATTGGACATTGGAACAGGAAAAGGACATTAGTGAGCATAATTTTAAAAACTGGTGAAACCTGAATTAGTCTGTAGTATAATGAACAGACAGAGCCCTAGTGGTGTAGTGGTTACATGTTGGGCTGCTAACTGCAAGGTCAGCAGTTCGAAACCAGCCACTCATTCAAAGAAAGACAGGGTTTTTCAAGTCAAGAGTTAACAGTCTCCAAAACTAGCAAGGGCTGTTCTACCATATCCAATGGGGTCCACTCTGAGTCGGCATTAACTCGACGGCAGTGAGTGTGGTTCTGGTTTATAGTTCACAGATGGAACCCTAATGGTGTAGTAAATTATGTGCGAGGGTGCTAACCACGGGTCAGAAGTTTGAGCCCACCAGTTGCAATGAGGGAGAAGATACACCTTTTTGCTCCCATAAGGATGGCCAACCTTGGACATCCATAGGAGCAGTTCTGCTCTGTCCTACAGCGTTGCTGAGTCCGAATGGACTTGACGGCTATGAGTGTTTTGCATTTCTGTATGGTTAATAGACTAACCCCAATGTTCATTCTACGTGTTGCTCTTGTAATTTCTATGTACCATTGAGTTGGTTCCAATTCATCTGGACCTTGCGTGCAGAACACTCCACAGGCCTTCACCATCCTCCTAATTGTTATGTTGAGCCCATTGTGGCAGCCATGATGTCAGTTCGTCTTGTCAAGAGCCTTCCTCTTTCGCGAGGCTCCTCTACTCCACCCTGCCCGATGTCCTTTTCTGGACAACATGTCCGAAGTATGCAAGACAAAGTCTCACTCTCCTTATTTCTAAGAAGCTTTCTGGCTGTACTTTCTCCAAGACAGATTTGTTGGCTTTTCTGGCAGTCCATGATCCTTTCAGTTCTTCACTGCATCAATTCCTCTTTGGCCTCAATTCCTTCCTTTGGATCAATGCCCCGTGGCGATGGAAAAGGCTGGATGAATGTTTTAAAGGAACTCTCTTTGCAGCACTGCTATAAATCTAAACTTATTTTGTAATAAGTTAAAAATATAAACAAAGCAGCATGAGATGGCACCCTGACAGAGCAGCAGAGGTGTGAAGGCTGGCTTGGCTGGCTAGCCCACTGAGGGCCTCAGAACCTTCCGATGTCTTTCAGTGTGATTTCTATGGGTTAGGAAAGTATCACATTGCCACAGGCACGGGGCCTTTGTGACCGGGTGAAAGCAAGCTTCGGATATGGATGGTTTAAGTAAAGGTGGTTAGCCTGTGTGGGTTCTGCCCCTACAAGGTTCCTGGAGTCTCTGAAACCCCTAGAGGGACATGCCACCTCTTCTGAGTGGGTGAGTACCAACCTGTCCTCAAGAGAGATCTAGCCCATCAAGTTCTTTACCATCACACCCTATACTCCACCACCCCCAGCCCCCCAATGAAGAATGAATGGGCATCCTTAAGTACAAAGGTCTTTTTCAAATTGAGTAAATAGAAACCATTTTCCTTCATATCTATTTAGTTAAGTAGAATCTATCTGGAGAGAAATGACGGTGATACTTGTTTATTCTAATGTTATAATCCTGAGAAATTGCTTACATGTCGGTAATAGTGATTTCGTAAATCCGGATGTAGATTCCCAGCTATTGAGTGGGTCTCTATTCACGACAACCCTTGGCACAAAGGAAAGAAGAGCGTCCTGGTCTCCCGTGATTGGTTTCAGATGAGACCATAGTGACCTATGGAGGCTTTTCATTGGCTAATTTTCACTAGGTGATTCCTGGGCCTTGCTTCCTAGTTGATCTTTCCCCGGAGGCTCCCCTGAAACGTGTTCAGCATCGCAGCACCACGCACGTCTCCCCGGACAGATGGGTGGTGGCTGAGCTGCAGCGGTACTGGCCGGGAGTTAACCTGGGTCTTTTTCACGGAAGGTGAGACTTCTACCCTTGTTGCACCCACCCACTGCCATAGATTGATGCGGACTCATAGCGACCCGACAGGACAGGGTTAGAACGGCCCCTTTGAGTTGATCTGACTGTAACTGCTTACCGGAGTAGAAAGCCCTGTCTTTCTCCCGTGGAGCAGTTGGGGGTTCTACCTGCTGGCCTCCTGGCTCTCAGGTAAGTGAGTAACCAATCGTTCCTAAATGAGGGTTTTAAACAGAGATGGATGTTTTCCTACTGAGAAAATGTACTGAACTTATGGTCATGGGTTTTACCATGTTTAATGGCCACCAGAGATGTCCACACCCTAATCTCTGGAACCTAACAATACATTATCTCACACAGCAACAGCCACATTGCAGATGAGTGATCGGGAGACTTCCCTTGATTACTCAGCTGTTCCCCATCGAGTGCTGTGTCCTCAGATTGGAGATGCCTTAGATTCCGAGGCTTAGAAGGAGAGAGACGCCAGGGGGAAGAGGAAGAGAGACGTGGCCCGTGAGAGGGATCCTGCTTGCCACTGTTGACTTTGAAGCGGGAGAAAGGAGTGCGAGTGGACACAGGAAGCTCAGAACAGCCCTCAGTGGACAGTCAGCAGGAAACAGGGACCCCAGGCCTACAACCCAAAGAATGGATGAACTGGAATGAGCACGAACTGGCTTCACCCCTAGCTCTCCAGAAAGGATTGTAAACTGCCAACATGAGGCTTTTACTCCGGTGCAACCCAGCACAAACTTCCATCCCAGGGAGCCCTGAGACCATGCACTGCTTTTATTTTAGGCCACTGGCCTTTCGGTAAGTTGCTATGGCAGCAGAAGGAAATAAATGAGCTGCAAAGGCAGCATTTTAGCAAAGACTTGAAGGAATTGGGATCTCTTAGGACGCAGGTGCCGGAGAGGTTTTGCCAGTTTTCTGACCAGGTCAGCTGTGCTGGAGGGGGCTTCTTGGGGAGGAGCGTGTTCCAGGCACAGCCGGAAGCCACCTCTGAGGCCCTGGGGAAGCGTGATGCTGCTGCGTGCAGAGCAGGGAGGAGGTCAGAGGGAGTGCTGTCGTTGGCAAAGACATCAGGTGAGGAGGGTTTGCCCTGCAACTGTGAACTCTGACTGCACTTCCTACTCACACGTAGAGAAAAAGAATCATCTTGATCTTTTCTGATCAGAAAGCCAATGTTCAGGCTACAAGACCCTCCCCCTGAGACTGCTCGCTTAGTGGCACTTCAGGGACACCCTCACTGTCGGTCGGCATCACCAAAAACCCACTCCAACCCAGCGGACCTCGTCAGAAAACTCAGATTTCCCCACAGTCTCCCCGAGCAGGTTACCAGACCAGATGAGTTGACGTGTTCTGGCTCTCTTAGGTTACAAGCCGCATTTCCTAATAACTACCAAAATCTCTCTAGCACCTGCATCCGAAGAGATTCCAATTCCTTTCTGGAAAGAGGTGGCTGTGGTGAGACCCCTGGTGGGTTTGGTTTGGTTTGGTTTTCTCTCACAAGATTTAGCATCAGCTGGCCAGGACCAATGGAAGTTGATAGACTCACTCCCCATCCTTCAGAGTTTGAGCAGCATTTCTTTCTGGGCATCGAGGTGTATCTATTTTGGCAGAAATCAAGGTGAGTTGCCTGTCTCTCTATCTGCCCAGGTCCCAAGCCCAGCCAAGGCCACAGTGCAGAAGTCATATGACTTCAGTGTTGCTCTAGGTCTGTGATAAACTGGTGGTAGTTGGTCTTAGAAATAAGTTTGGGCCTCCAGGTGCAGGGGCTTGGTTGGGAGTTCAGAAGCACCCCTCCCCTTTGAGGTAGGAGAGGGTGAGCGCGCCAGTTTGCAAGAGAACAAAGCAATTGGGTCAGAATATGACAAAAATCTCATCTCCTGATTTCCGTTTCTAATTGCCCCCCAAAAGCCCTCAGTGGGATGCCTCTGATGAACGTCCAGTGTTTCGCGCTTTTGCGCACAGGGTTGCTGAGAGTTGCGACCGACTTGTGGGCATCAACAAGGACCTCCCTTGACATGCTACTGCACTATTGTTGGGATATGAATGACGTCTCCCAGTAGTCGCCTTCAATAACGACCATACACTGAATTACACAAATCGATGCAGCAGTGAAAGAAAAGTAATCGTTCTAGAACATACACATTTATTGACCAGGATGTAGACTATCATCAGGTGTTGTTGTTGTTGTTGTTGTTAGGTGCCATAGAGTTGGACCCTGTGTACAACAGAATGAAACACTGCCCAGTTCTGCGCCAGCCTCCCAAGTGTGGTCTGTTCGCGCCTCCTATTGCAACTGCTGTGGCCAAGCCATCTTGCCAAGGGTTTTCTCCTTTATTTTAAATCAACCTCTGAGTAGAAAAACTACCAAGACCAAACCACCTCCCTCTGAGTCAATCCTGACGAGAGATTCTATAGGCCCTGAATAGGGGGCCTGCGGCTGTGAGTCATGACAGAAGGACCATGTCTTCCTCCCACAGAGCAGCTGGTGGATTTGAATGGCAGACTTTCAGGCTAGCCACCAGGATTCGGGGCCAAAGTCGTTGAAGGCCTGGGTCTCAGAACTCTGCGCCTTTGAGAGGAGTGCTAACCGACTTAGGTTTAATGATTCCCGCCTCAGCTTCTGCTCAGACTCAAGGCCTGAGGTGTGGCTCCCGGCTAGATGACCTGGCTGTGACAGGTCAAACATCGCGTGTGCATCTCTTTGTCTGTTTCTTTCTCTGCATAATGGGAACAGTGACGATACAGGCCAGCGGTTTTCAACCTTCCTCAGGCCACGACCCTTTCAGACAGTTCCTCATGTGGTGGTGACTCCCCCCAACCATAACATTATTTTCGTTGCTACTTCACCACTGTCATTTTGCTACTGTTATGAATTGGCAACCCCTGTGAAAGGGGTCATAACCCACGGGTTGCGAACTGCTGATCTAGGCCCCGTGGGTTAGGCATTTGGCTGCTTAACTGTAAGAGTGGTATTTCAAACCCACCAGCTGCTCCTCTGGAGAAAGACGAGGCTGTCTGCTCCCATGAAGCTGTACAGTCTCAGAAGCTGTCATGGGGTCACAATGTGTTGGGATGGACCATGGCAGCATTTGGTTGGGGCCATGGGGGCACTCAGAGCTCTGAGGCCAGGAAAGCATTTACAAACCTTCGGGTGGTACTGATCCTGAGAGGCAGCAGAGTAGCACACAGAGGTTAAGAGGCTGCCACCTGAAGTCACGCAGCCTGATCAGAGTGTCCCTGATTAGCTCGGTGATCCGAAGCACGTTGGTGTTGATCTAAACCTGCGTTTCCTCCTCGGCAGCTGAAGCGTGTGTCTGGCCAGTGGGTGACCTGGCACAGCTGGCCAGGCTCACTCTTGGGCTCACCTGCGAAGGGCACGGGTCCCAGACACTGGAACCGGTCTTTAGCCATCACTCTCTCACGAGCCGCTGGTAAAACGAGTTTTCCTGGTATCTTGCCTCCTGATCAACTCTTGCGCAAGCGCGCACGTGTGTGTGTGTGCCCGTGTGCGCGCGCGCGCGCGCTTTTTCTGGGTCAGAAGACCCTGAGCTCTTGGGTCCGCTGTGGCTGGTGAGCAGCCACCTATGAGGAAGTTGGTCTATCGCCCAGGGCATTCAGAAGTTCACAGGGACTTCTCTCCGTGGCTACAGAACGAAGTCCCGGATCTGGAAGCCACGCAGATCTTCGTGCTTTCTGAGTAGAAATTTCCAGATGGTCAAACACTCTCAGGACCGCGGGGCTGGGGGGATGTCTTACACCCCCAGGGCACTGGAGTACACCGAAGGGTCCAGTCACCGCACAGTCTGGTCAAAGCTGGTTTAGCTGCTCTTGGTAACGTTCTGGAAGAAGCAGAGGACACAAGCCTCCCACTCAGCTGATAGCTGTCCGGCGGGGACACTTCATTTTATTACACCTCTGTTGAAAATAAATTGAGCTTGGACGTCAAATAGGGTTAGGGTCTCGGTTCAAAAAGCCTCACAAAGGTTTTTTCACCTGTCGCTGTAAGGTGGGGCGTTAGAAAGTTGGGGGAGACGTGGGCCATAGTTTTTCTTGAGCGACGGCCCACGTACTGTGGACCTGTAGCATCGCCGGCTCCCCACCACGTTAAAAACCTGAAGGAAAAACACCAGAACAAGGGACCAGGGAACCTTGCCGTCCATTCGTGATCAAAGCACTCCTCTAAGACAGAGCACGACTGCCCCTTAGGGTCCCCAAGGGTGTAAATGGTTATGAAAGCAGTCTGACCAGTCTAACTACGGGGCAATCCCCCACCCCCCCCAAAAAAAAAAAACACACCCCTGCGCACTTCCCAAATGCCCCTCGGTGGGCAGAGCTGCCTGGGTTGAGAACTACCACCTGGACCCGTTGCCCTTGGCTGTAAGTTGATTCTTGTCAGGGAGGTTGGAGTTCTCAGCAGCCGTTTCTTGGCTTGCATTGAAATCACAGCTCACGTGCAAGGAAGCAGGAATTTGAAAATCTCCTTGGTGACAGCTCAACTATAGGGCAATCCTTATCTGTGCGCTAGCTGAGTAGCCTCCCTTCTCTGCAAATACACTCATCTTTGCAGATAATTTCCCTTGAGGCCAGGACTTGTAGATCTTTGTTCCTGCATACACAATCTGATTCTTCAACACTTCGAGCAAAGTGGAGTGCTAACAGTTTGCTGTGTGGATCTGTAAAATTGGCACACATCAGGAATTACAAAATGGTTACGACTCAGTAGTTGCTTCGTGACCTCAGTGAAATGAGTTGTTGCTTTGGATAAAACTCATAGAAGATTAAGAACGACCATTTCCATCGGTCTGGGCAGAGCAGCCAAGCTTGAAAACGGTTCTTCAGAAATGGAGAGGCTAAATATGCTAAAAGAAACACCTTAAGCTCTTGGAGTTATTAGCCTATCCTCTCTCAAACACGATGAAGCAGAGTAAATGAGTATCGAGATTAAAAAGCACACTTCTGAGTAATAATGATTTCCTCATTCTCTCAGGATCACTGCCAGTAACGGGCACGGGAATCCTGCCGCGCTGGAGCCCTGCGAGGTTGACGGGCAGTAGCTGCTGCCCCCTCGTGAACGATGATGTTACTGCAGGTACTTGGTTCCTGAAACCACCACGGAGCTCCATTACCAGATGCCAAGCGGATTGCAGGTAGAATAAGGCGCTTTGTTTAAATGATATAGACCATTAAGAACTTGTAAAATATATTGTTCTTTTGGAACCGGTGGTTAAAACACTTTTTGTAGGTTCCCGCCGCGGGGGTCATTTTGATGCTGTTTCTCAGTGCCGCCAGTGTGTGTTTTCCTGCTTTTCCGAACACAGCAGGTTACATAATTCTCAGTGCTCCCTGCTAAATGTCTTTAGGGCCAGTTGTTCCCAAAGCAGGAAAAATAGTTACAGTGACTGTATTAAAATACCCTTTTCCTTTCTTCCACGATCTCTCTCTTATTGTGATAGTCTCTTAGTTTGCCATTGAACGCCGTTATAAGAAAAAATGAAAATGTCAAATGATTAGCATGAATTTTACTGTTCATATTTATATTGTACAATTCCAGTTTCAAGTGAAAATATCAGAACAACTGTGGTTCTTGTGTGTCGTTGGGTCCGTTCTGACTCAGCACCCCGGTGAACAGCAGAATGAAACCCTGCCTGGTCCCACAGCATCAACCTCGCAATGATTATGCTGATTCCACTGTTGCAATCCCTGTCAGCCCAGCTCATTGAGGGTCATCTTGTTCTTGGACTCTATTTTACTAAGAGTGATAGTTACAGTTTTGTGTCAAGATGGCTTTGCCAGCATTTGGCATTTAAAATGCCATACATCCATCTTGATGAGACCTCTATGGAGTGTGGTCCTCTTCCAATATAAGTAGACATGACGGAAAAGCTTGCTTGCTCTTTGCTGGGTCTGGAGCTTACATCTGGCTCATCATCTGACCTCTGGTTCTGTGGACTTAAACCAGCAGCCTACTGTATTGCCTGCTGTCCCTGGGGGTCTGGAGAAGCCTCTCATCTAACACCTGATCCACAGACTGGGAACTGACCCATCTCTACAACTGTGAGCTATTTCCTTAATAGAAACTCTCTCTACATAAACATATATGAGGTTCACTGCTTTGCTTCTCCAAAGACCTCAACCTGAAACACCAACCAGGGTGTCCTTATCCAGGGATGAGTTCCTACTGATAAGACATCCAAAGTATGTGATTGGAAGTTTTACCATCTTTGCTTCTAAGGAGCTTTCTGATTGTACTTCCAAGACAGAGTTGTTTGTTCTTCTCCCAGTCCACGGTAATTTCGATATTCTTCGCCAACACCGCAATTCCAGTGTATCAATTCTTCCCTGCTCCATCTTCATTGTCCAGTTGTCACACGTATATGAGGCGATTGAAAAGGTGATGGCTTGGTTAAAAAATAACTTGTATTGAAAGCGAGGCTATCTCATGTTGTGTAATTATCAAGTTCACACAATTCCCGTTTTGTGGTTTGCAGATACGTACACATGTAAGGAACCCCGGTTACACTATCGGGTAAATGTTGGACTGTTTACTGTGTGGCCACGTGTTCAAACACATCAGTCACTGAGTGGGAGAAAGTCCAGGGTTTCTGTCTCCATAAAGATTTACAGCTTCAGAAATCATATAGAGGGTCATATAGAGAATTGAATCATGGCAGTGGGTTGGGTTGTATCTATGTATATACATTTCATTCTTCACAGAAAAAAACACAGTCTGAAACTACCTCAGCGATTACTTATTTCCCATCTTAATACCTGCACATTCAATCAAAGCACCCTAGCTTTGGCTCACTGCTAAGTGCAGAAAGACTATAAGGGAAGAGGACTATGCCTTGCCACCTATTTCCCTTTTGACCTTTGTTAACATTTTTAGCAGAGGTGAGATGGGAAAGAAGAAATTAGGGCTTCTTGGCCATTTGTGTCTCTTGGAGAACCACTGCCTTGGTTCTGCATGATTGCGAAAGGAAAGGCCAATCTCCTGCTAACGTGGTCGATTCTTTGAGTCTCATGTTTGGGGCCCGCTGGCCTTCTTCGTTCATGGGACAGAGCAGATGCTGCGTGCGAAGAGGAGGCGAGGAGTGGCGGACAGGAGCACCAGCTGCTCAGTGTCCACCCAAGTTCAAGAAAGGAATCAGAGGATTTCCTAAGTGCCCAGTCCCATGCAGGATCCCTCTGCATCCAGGGTCCCGCCCATGAAATGTTGCAAAAGGCAAATTGTTTCCTCGTTGTCCGAACTTGGTGTCAGTCCCCTTTGACATGCGGCCATTTTTATTCTTGTGAAAACATGGAGTGGGTAAAGTCGCATGGGAGCACGAGGAAAGAAAAAGCAGAGTTTGCGCGCTCACAAGACTGGCCCTGTTTCCCTTTAATCAAGCCATGCATACCAAATAGCTATTTCCAAAAGTGGTTGTGCTTGTTTGGGTTTTTGGGTTTCCACGGCCTCAAAGAGGAATGTGTAACTCAGACTCGTCGGCAGCATGCGGGTTGAGGCCTTCCTCCGTGTGCCCCCGGGACTGCCGGGCAGCAGAAGGGGAGTTGGTTGTGGGTCCCGGGCCTGGTGTCCTGGCTTCCAGAGCACCGCCACCTGAGACCCGGTTTGCATCATTGGGTGGAGCTGGGAATAGAGTTCAGGGACGTAAGAATTAGGCAAAAATGCTAACTGCACTCAGGGGAGCATCCAAAGGAGCCCTGGTCATGCAATGGCTGCAAATCTTTGCGGACGTGGAGCACCGCCGCTGGGTCAGCCGGCTTCTCCAGGCCTCGGCAGGCCAGCCTGTTCTCAATGTTCTCCCTTCCCTGGGAAGCTCAAACCAAATGACAGGTTTGGATTAAGGAATCAGAACAACGGGAAAACCAGAAGTTAATTAGTTTTATATATGGCAAGGGTTGTTTTTGTTGGCAGGGGGGAGTAATTAAAATCATCTCATTAATATCCCTATCAGAATTTCCCCTCAGGTCTGAGTGTCTCCCAAGGACCAGGTTTTCTGTCTGTACTAGAAGCTCCCTCGCCTCCCTGCCATCGAGTGGGGACTGACGCCGACACTGCAGGACAGGGTATAACCGCCCCTTGGGGTTTCCAAGACTGCGACTCTTCACGGGAGTAAAAACCCATCTTTCTCCTGCAGAGAAACTGCCGTGGTGTTGAACCACTGACCTTTTGCTTAGCAGCCTATCGCCTACCCTTGTATTAGAGGCCAGAAATGCGTTATGTGCGAAAGGACGCACTGGCCTCTCGGGGCTCGCGGGTCCTGCTTACTCGGTCAGAGACGTTAACATATTCTTTGGTTGGCTATGTTTGTGCCTTGCTGAATTTCCTTGCATCGTGTTCTCAGATATTGAAATGCAGTGTATGCATTGTAGATAGAAAATATTTAGTGAGCTTTAGTAACATGAAAATACATTCCTTAGAAAGGGGAAACCGATTACAAGGATCTACATATAACCCCCTCCCTAGGGGACGGACAATAGAAAAGTGGGTGAAGGGAGACATGAGACAGTGTAAGACATGACAAAATAATAATGATTTATACATTATAAGGGGGAGGGAGGGAGCGGCGCCCGGGAGGGAGGGGAAAAACGAGGAGCTGATACCAAAGGCTCAAGTAGAAAGCAAATGTTTTGAGAATGATGATGGCAACAAATGTACAAATGTGCTTGGCACAATGGATGGATGTATGGATTGTGGTAAGAGCTGTACAAGCCCCCAGTAAAATGATTTTCACAAGAAAAGAAATCCTTAACTTTAAGCAGGTTGGGGTTTGGAGCTCATTAATTTGGGCCGCGTCACAGGCTCGAGCTCTGGTTTTGTAAAGATGAACATCTTCATTTCCGGGAGCTCTTTCTAGACTCCAGGCGAACTAGAGTCCTCCTGCAGAGAGCATGGATGCCCAGGCAGTGAGGGGAGGACTGCACTGCGGGGCTGTGCTCGCCAGGAGGGAGACCCTCTTTGGTCAGGCCCAGCTGGAGACCAGGGGATGGACGCTAGGGATCACTGGAGATGGAGGGAAGAGGCAGGGCCAGGCTTGACTTGTGGGTTTCACTCAGGCAACCTTTCCTACTCATTTGACATACCGTCTCTGCTCCACACGCCTGCTTCTAAAGAGTGAAACTTAAAAATGAAATCAGTGGACATTTGAAACAGTGGTGGTTTAGTGGCAGGATTCTTGTCTGCTACACGGGAGACGTGGATGTTACACGGCCGTGGCGCAGTTTCCAGCAGAGCTTCCGGGCCTGGTGATCTATTCCCTAAACTCAGCTAGTGAAAACCCTTATGAATCACAACACTTCCATCCTCAAAAGGCTCTTGGAGGTGGCCCAGGACTGGGCAGCATTTTGTGCTGTTGTGTGTGGTATCCCCATGAGTGGAGTGCCAACTGGGCCATGGCCAACAACCTGAGGCATCAAGTCAAACCTATTAGGGATGTACTTCCTCTCAGTTGTGATCATTAGAGTAAGATGAGCCAATCAGGGTACAGGGTAGCAACAATGAAACATATAACTTCCTCTAGTTC